TGTGCTGTTGGGGACACAGAGCTGTGTGCAGCACTCCAGGTGTGGCCTCAGCAGAGCAGAGCAGAGGGGGAGACCTCTGCCCACACTCCTGTGGCTGCAGCCCAGGCCTGGGTTGGTTTCTGGGCTGTGAGCACACACTGAGCTCATGAGGAGTTTGGCATCACCATCACCCCTAAGTCCTTCTCCCAGGGCTGCTCTCCCCCAGCCTAGAGGAGTGTCTGGGCCTGCCCTGCCCCAGGGCACTTGGTTTTGTCCCACTGGGCATTGCACAAAGAGGGGCAAAGGAGGGGTGGAAGAGCAGCAGGAAGGAGAGCAAATGATGGAGAGACAGGAGGAGGTTGGGTCAGTGTGGTGCCAACCCTGCTGTTCTGTCCCTGGTCCTGGCAGGACTGAACCTCATGGAGGTCACCAAGGCTAAGTGTAGATCCTGCACGTGGGTTGGGACAATCCCAAACACAAATCCAGGCTGGGGGATGAATGGATTGACAGCAGCCCTGGGAGAAGGACTTGAGGTGTTTGTGGGTGAGAAGATCAACATGTCTGAGCCATGAAAGCAGAACCTCCTGTGTGCTGAGATTCTGTGAACCACGGACAGTCAAATTCTCTGTAGTTCAAGGACAAGACTCTCCCTCTTGTCTCTTCCTACTAAAGAGACATTCTAGACACAGGATAATATCTTCCAGGTGTTCCCAGGGCAGCTCCCACTGGGGCTGGAATGGACAGGGATAGGATGGATATGGCAGGAGAGACCATCCCCCACCTCTCTCCAACCCCTGTCAGGGAGTTGGAGAGAGCCATGAGGTCACCCCTGAGCCTCTTCTCAAGGCTGAGCAGACCCAGCTCCCTTAGCCCTTCCTCAGGTGTTCTAGCTTTCATGAACCTCATTGGACATGTGTTCTATGTGTTCTAGCCCTTTTTTGCCCTCGTTACCCTTCTCTGGACTCTCTCCAGTGCCTCAGTGTCCTTTCTGCAGTGAGTGCCCAAACCTGACCCCAGCACTGAGCTGTGACCTCCCCAGTGCCCAGTCCAGGGGGATGAGCACTGCCCTAGTCCTGCTGCCACACTGTCCTTGCTCCAGGCCAAGATGCCCTTGGCCTCCTTGGCCACCTGGTCACACTGTTGGCTCACACTGAGCTGCTGCCACCAGCACTGCCAAGTCCCTTTGTGACCAACACCTCTCCAGCCTCTCCTCCCCCAGCCTGGAGCTCTGTGGGGGTTGTTGTGTCCCAAGGGCAGGACCAGCACTGAGCCTGACTGACCCTCCTGCAGTTGTCCTCAGCCCATGGATGACTCTGTCCAGGTCTCCCTGTAGAGCTTTCCTACCCTCAGGCAGATCCACACTCCCACCCATCTTGGTGTCATCTACACAATCTCTGAGGTGCTCTCTCACTCCCCATGTCCAGATCATCAATAAAGATGTTAATTAGGACCTGTTTCCTCAGGCTGAGGGAACTAAGAGAGCTGGAGAGGGACTTTGGACAAGGGCCTGGAGGGACAGGACAAGGAGGAATGGCTTCCCACTGCTGAGGGAACCATTGGATTCCTGCACTGGGTTTTGTGGTTCTGTGGTTCAATGATCCCATTCCATCCCATCCCATCTCACCCCACCCCATCCCACCCTGGTGCCCCATGGCAGAGTAGGGCCCTGCATGATCTGAGTTGGCTTTTCCTAGGTGTTAATCCCAGATCCTAACAATGCCAGGGAGGAAGGGCTGGAGAAGATCTTTTTTCTTGGCCTCCAGGGATTGAAATAGAAGAAGAAAGGCACTTCTGCCCTATCCAGTTACTGCAACACAATCTAACTGGGCCAGTTTCACTGACAACCTTGACCCACAGCCAACTTGCTTTGTCTTCCATGGCCTGAAACTCCTGAGGCTCAGAGGGGAACAGGAGAGCTTTGTCAGGACTCCTCTCCTTGCCTTCCAGGACCTCTGTCCCTGCCTTTCCAACCAGCCAAAGCTCCACAGCCTCTCCTGGGTGTCTCTCCTGACAGTGTGACACTCTCCTGGGTGTCTTTCCTCCCTGTGCCACTCCTTGTCACCTCCCAAGTCCTCTCCTGAGCACACACACACTCAGGTAACTCCCAAACAAAGTAGTGTTCAACCAAGCAATTTCCCAGTTCTATTTTCCCCCCAGATTCCAAATTTCCTCCCTTTCTGGTGATCATAGACACTTCCCTCTCCCAATCCAAGTCCTCATCTTCCAACAGCTAAAAGTGAAACAGGATCATGAGTGATGCCAAACCCAAGTGTTTCCTCACCTTCAGCTCCCAGTGTCAGCTCTGAGCATCACCTGCAAACCAGTGGTGGCACTGGGCTAACTGGGCCCACATTTCCCTCTCCAGGCAGGTTTGTCCTGCAGTTCTGCACCACAGGGAACTCTTCCACTGGTGAGGAAACCAAGCTAGAGGCCTCGTGGTGAGGGAATAGCTCCTGCTGTCCCCCAGCCCATTCCAAGTGTCAGAGAGAGAAGGTGAAGGTGAGTCCTCAGAGCTAGAAGTAGCTCTCAGGATGCACAGGAAAGGTGGAAGGAATTATGGAACTCCTTGCCCAGCTCTCCAAAATCAACCTTCAGTCATTCCTTCTAGAGCTGCACTTCCCATTCCCACTCCTCCCAGGATTTAGTGGGAATGGAGGTGCCCAGACCCTGCTCAGGAGATAATCTTCCCATTTAAACTTCCTGAAGACCCTCAAAGAGCTGTTTCCAAGTGCTCCCAGGGCAGTCAGAGCACAGTTACCACCTGGAAGACCCAGAGTGACCTGGCATAGATCAGGAATCAGAGCCAGAGCCAAGAAGTATCCACATAATCCTCAGCTCTGTTTCCCTGCAGACACTTGCCTGGCACAGCACACACAAATCACTCTGGGATAAGAAACCTCCTGGGACTCCATGGATAAAGAGCTGCAGAGTTGTCATGTTGCACTTTCTGCCATGAAAAGCTTGGGAAAGCAGATGCTTCCCAGGCATGGAGAGCACTCCCAATATTCCCAGTGCGGAGAATAATCAATGTGACAGAGGAGTGGGAATAGATCCCACTAAAGCATAGCACAGAATGAGGTAAGTGAATGTCATGAAGCTTTGGAGCTCCAAACAAGTTCCTAAAGGATTTTCCAGGTTGAACTCCTTAACCAGCACTCCAAAATCAACCTTCAATTATATCTCTCCTAGAGGTGCACTTCCCATTCCCACACTTCCAGCATTTAGAGGGAATGGAGGTGCCCAGACCCCACTCAATCAAGATCTTCCAACCTAACCTCCCTAAAGACCCTCAAAGAGCTGTTTCCAAGTGCTCCCAGGGCAGTCAGAGCTCAGTCACCACCTGGAAGACCCAGAGTGACCTGGAATAGATCAGGAATCAGAGCCAGAGCCAAGGAGTATCCACATAATCCTCAGCTCTGTTTCCCTGCAGATATTCCTCAGCTCTTTCCTGGCACAGCACATGCAAATCCCTCCTGGGATAGGAAACCTCCTGGGACTCCATGGATAAAGAGCTGCAGAGTTGTTGTGTTGCACTTTCTGCCATGAAAAGCTTGGGGAAGCAGATGCTTCCCAGGAATGGAGAACATTCCCAGTATTCTCAGTGACAGAGAAGTGGGAATGAATCCCAGGAGGGGCCCAACATGAGCAGAGCAACTGGCATGAAGTTTTGGAGCTCCAAACAAGTTCCTAAAGGATTTTCCAGGTTGAACTTCTTGCCCAGCTCTCCAAAATCAACCTTCAGTTATATCTCTCCTAGAGCTGCACTTCCCATTCCCACTCCTCCCAGCATTTAGAGGGGGGGAAAAAAACCTTCTGGGAGCGATTTCCACAAAGCAACCAACTTTTTATTCCACAAACAGAGGCTGTTGAAGCTTTTGGACAAGAACTGAAAGCACTAAGAGTCCAGAGAAGTCCAAAGGGAATAAAGAAAGGAGGAAATGCAGCCTGTGGGATCACTGTTGCACTTCCCATTCCCACTCCTCCCAGCATTTAGAGGGGGGGAAAAAAACCTTCTGGGAGCGATTTCCACAAAGCAACCAACTTTTTATTCCACAAACAGAGGCTGTTGAAGCTTTTGGACAAGAACTGAAAGCACTAAGAGTCCAGAGAAGTCCAAAGGGAATAAAGAAAGGAGGAAATGCAGCCTGTGGGATCACTGTCACTGCTCCAACCCCTCCTGCCACCTCCTGGGAATACCAACTGCACTCCCTGCCCAGGGGAGGGGTGATAGAGCAGAGCAAACCCCTGGCAGCAGGACAGGTTCAGCTTTGTGGGTTGCACAGGAGATCCCAATTCCCTCCTGGAGTAGCTCCTTGTTCTCTCCTCCACTCCCAGCCCTGCCCAGGGGTGGTAGAGCAGAGCAAATCCCTGGCAGCAGCACAGGTTTGGCTTGGGTTTGGGGTTAGGTTTAGAGGCTGTTTGACCTTTTGCATCAGACCTATAAGGACTAAGAGAGTCCAGAGAACTCCAAAGGGAAAAGGAGAGGAAGAAATGGAGCCTGTGGGATCCAACCCCTCCTGCCACCTCCTGGGAATACCAACTCTGCTCCCAGCCCTGCCCAGGGGTGTCAGAGCAGAGCACAGAGTTTGGCTTTGTGGGTTCCACCAGGATTTTAGGGTTAGGTTTAGAGGCTGTTTGACCTTTTGCATCGGAACTGAAAGGACTAGGAGCCCAGAGAACTCCAAAGGGAATAAAGAGAGGGAGAAGTGCAGCCTGTGGGATCACTGGCACTGCTCCAACCCCTCCTGCCACCTCCTGGGAATACCAACTGCACTCCCAGCCCTGCCCAGGGGTGATAGAGCAGAGCAAACCCCTGGCAGCAGGACAGGTTCAGCTTTGTGGGTTGCACAGGAGATCCCAATTCCCTCCTGGAGTAGCTCCTTGTTCTCTCCATCACATCTATTCCTCCTCGACAAGCACCACACACCCTTCTGGGGGTTGGTGTACTCCACGTCATCCCTCCCTCACCCCCGGGAGGGGATCGAGGTGTATCCCAGCTGGAGCACAGGGAGATGACTTACATCTACGGAGTTCTCCCTCTGGATAATCCTCCTGTTGTCCTTCTCGCAGTGGTTGAGCACTGGATCACAACTTTGAGGACCAGGTGAGCTGTTTTCAGCCTGATTTTTCTCCCTGAGCTCCCCAGAGCTGCTCCCATCCGTATCCACCACATCCAGCTCCTTTTCCAACTCCTCCATCTCCTCTGGAGACAGAGTGGATAATAAGTTATCTATATCTGGATCTTCACTAACTTGGCGCCGATATTTTTTTTCTTGGCTCGCTGGCGAGACACGGTGGCGGTTTTGTGGTACCCAAAGCAGAGAGAAAACAAGAAGCCGAAGCTCCCAAAGCTCTTCCCGAGCGGCAGCAGGTGCTGAAGTGGTAAATCCCAGCAGCTCTCCCTCCCTGCAGCCCGGGAGAAGGTTCTTGTGCAGAGGGAACAGCCCTCGCTCCAAGGGTTGGCCAATAACAGCATCCAGAGGCGCTTTGGGGCGCTGGGAAGCCAATGGAACCAGGCTGGGGGCGGAGATAGGAGCGTGAAACCCGAGGACATTCCTGGGATCCAGGCACAGCTCCATGACCAAATTTAGTCCGGAGCATTTAGCCTTTTAAAGGCAATTGGCCAAGGGAGTGAGGAAACAGGGAAAAATGCACAAGTTGGCAGGATGGGGATCAGGGAGAGGGGGGAGGCAGCTCCAGAGGGGATGGAGGGCTACTGGAGAGGGCAGTGTGGCTACAAGGGATGGGGAGAGGCTCTGCCCTGGCAGGGACAGCTCTGGGCTGAAATTGGCTATGGAGCATTGCTCCAGTGGTTTTCTCTTCATCCCACTGCTCACAGGGTTAGCAGGAGTTTTCTCCCTGGGCTGCTCCCATCTGTATCCATCACATCCAGCTCCTTTTCCAACTCCTCCATCTCCTCTGGAGACACAGTGGGTAATAAAATGTCAGTATCAGGATCTTCACTAACTTGGTGCTGATATTTGGCCTTTGGGATAGAGGTGGTGCTGGTGGTGCTGGTGCAGACTGGTTCCTTAGGAAGGATGGATCCTGCTCCTAGATGTGTGGAGTCGGAGTCCAGCACCATCCTTGGGGCATTTCATCAGGGCTTCTCCTGACTCCCTGTGCTCTGTGGGGCTGGTTCTGCTCTTCATCACAACTGCCAAGCCCCAGAGACATCCCTCCCTGTGTCCAGACTGAATTCCTGACTCTCTCCTGCTCCATCCCTCCTTCTGCCCACACTGAATTCATGACTCTCTCCTGATCCTGCTCCATCCCTCCTTGTGTCCATACTGAATACCTGACTCTCTCCTGCTCCATCCCTCCTTCTGCCCACACTGAATTCATGACTCTCTCCTGGTCCTGCTCCATTCCTTCTTGTCCCCAGACAGAATTCCTGACTCTCTCCTGCTCCTGCTCCATTCCTCCTTGTGCCCACACTGAATTCCTTGACTCTCTCCTGCTCCTGGTCCAGGCAGTGCCCTGCTCCTGGGCTTTGGCCGGTGGCACTGACTTCCCATCACCCTAATCCATGGAGAAGCTCCCTGGCACCTGTGAGTTCTCCCCCAGGGACAGATGCAGACAGGCTCTTCTCTCCACCTTCAATGCAGCTTTGCCCCAAGGACACCACTTTGGACCCATTTGTTATCCTGCCAACTTCATCTTGGATTTCTTCATTCCTCATCTTCCTCCTAATGTTTACTGTCTGCTCCCAGCCTCATGCAAGCAAGGAGCCCTTTGGTCTTCCTTGGTAAAATAAGCTCTCCTAGGATTTTCCTCAGCCTCATCACCTCCTCTCCTGTCTCTGTGCCTCAGATCCCATCCTGGGTGTTCAGGACCTCGATTTGCTTGTCTTGTGGACACAGAGGCTCAGGGATGTTCAGATCCTAAGTTCCCAGTTTGTGTTTGTCTCCCCATTTTGGGGGGCACCGGAGTTCGGTTCCTTGTATGTATGTCTGGAGCCCTTAAATCCTAAATGGGAATTCTTCTGCATTTTAAGGACAACATTGGAAAATCTCTGACTAAATTAGGGCCAGTATAAACTTCATCACCTTAACTGTCCTTGGCTAATTCCTCTAGAACTGAAGCAGAGAGATCAGTTCTCTCATGTGCCACATGGAAGGATTTCCCCTTGCCCTGGAATGGTTGTACAGGTGACAGGGTTGGATTACTCACTCATGGTTGGGTTTTGGGGCTGCAGTGAGGGTTTATTGGCTGTAAGTTCTGGTTTGGGGGTGGAAAGAAATAAATATTCCAGGCATGAATGAAGGAACAATGTAACATCTCTAGAGCCACTTGAAGTCATGACTGACATCCATCAATCCTCTTTGGAATCCTGGTGGTAGCACAACTCTCCAGCAGTAAGCTGGAGCACCCAAACTCCTTGGAAGCATCCCTGGACCTAGTGCAGGAGCAGCACAGGAACCATGAGCACCAGGAGGAGGATCAAAACTTCTGGGAGTCCATGGAATTCCATGCCTCACCTCAATGGCTACATCCCTCCTGGTGCAAGGGAGCACCAAGCTGAGAGTGGTGGGATCAGGGAGACAGGATGGGGTGAGGTAGGATGGAATCCAACCCAGCAATGTTTGAGGTTGTGTACTTGGAAACTAAACCCAACAGTTCCTTCTCCAAGCTGGAAAACATCTCAGCTGTGCTGGTGAATCATCAGAAGAATATGAGCAGGAGCTGTGCTGGAGATAAGGAGATCCTGGAATGCTCCAGGAATGTGCATTTTCAGGCAGGATGGGGAAGGTCTAGTTTGTAACACACAGCATCAGGAGATATCTGGAACACCCAGGATGGGATCTGAGGCACAGAGACAGGAGAGGAGGTGACGAGGCTGAGGAAAATCCTAGGAGAGCTTATTTTACCAAGGAAGACCAAAGGGCTCCTTGCTTGCATGAGGCTGGGAGTAGACAGTAAATACTGGGAGGAGGATGAGGGATGAAGAAATCCAAGATGAAGTTGGCAGGATAACAAATGGGTCCAAAGTGGTGTCCTTGGGGCAAAGCTGCATTGAAGGTGGAGAGAAGAGCCTGTCTGCATCTGTCCCTGGGGGAGAACTCACAGGTGCCAGGGAGCTTCTCCATGGATTAGGGTGATGGGAAGTCAGTGCCACCGGCCAAAGCCCAGGAGCAGGGCACTGCCTGGACCAGGAGCAGGAGAGAGTCAAGGAATTCAGTGTGGGCAGAAGGAGGGATGGAGCAGGAGAGCTCCAGGAATTCAGCCTGGGCAGAAGGAGGGATGGAGCAGGAGAGAGTCATGAATTCAGTCTGGCCACAAACAAATCAAGGTCCCAACGCTGATTTGAGACCACATCAATGTGCACAGACTTCACCTGACAACCAGCTGAGTATTGATCACTCTTTACAGAGGTGCATGAAGACCTGGTGGGTTTGAAGGACACAGCAGCAGGTCCTGCCAAGACCAGGTATCTTCTGCATTCCAGCACCAAAGCCACTTCCAAATCAACAATTCCACCCAAAATAGCTGCACTAAGACTATTGTGGACCTGACACAGCCTGAGGTCAGGTCACAAGAGGCACTATGAGCAGGGCAAAGTCATAGAATCATAGAATCAACCAGGTTGGAAGAGACCTCAAAGATCATTGAGTCCAACCCTGCCGTTCTTACTAGACCATGGCACTAAGTGCCACATCTGAGTCCTGAGTGTAGCCCTGAGCACATCCTGCTAAGTCCTGAGGGCAGCAGTGCTGACTCTCCCCTCTTACCAGTTTCGGTTCCCAGCAGGTGATTCCTCATGGGCTTTGGGTTTGTGTCATCTTGAGCACTTTTCCTTCGGGAATGTTTTCTTCATAGTAGTCAGGTTTTACCTTGATTTCCATGAGGTCATTTGTATCATCTACAGGGAAGAGAGAGAAAGATTAGAGATTGGAAGGTCTTCTCTGGATCCTAAAATGGTAAGGGATTAAAATGGACAGGGCTTGGAGCTACCTGGAAGGTGTCGATGCCTATGGCAGGGGGTGGCACTGGATGAGGTTTAAGGTCCTTCCAACCTAAACCAGTCTGGAATTCCATGATTCTATGAGGAGAGTGGGGAGAAGGAGAGGAGGGGAGGGAGAAGGAGGGGGAGGGAAAAGGAGGGGAGGGAGAAGGTGGGGGAGGGAAGCTCAAACTCTGGTTCTCCCACTTGGGACACCATTGTAACAGTCACTAGAGTAGCAGCACATGGTGTTGGCATCCAAGAGGAAAAGTATCCTGGAAATCAACCCAAATGCAGCCCCCAAAGCCAGGGGTGCCTGGGACAGCCTGTGTGTCCCATCACAGCCACCATGGGTGCTGCAGCTCTCTCACCTCTCCTGAGCTGAGCTGTCCTGTGCTGCTCTCCCTGCTCCTGTTTCATCAGCCTCAGGTTGTACTCATTGACCTTCTTGTGGTTCACCATGGGGAAGGGATAATCCTGCCCTGGGCAACACAAAGACAGAGCCTTTACAGGACTCAGCAAGGTCTTTGCCCTGGATTTACATCCCAGCAAAAAGAAATGGCACCTGGAATAGTCTCAGAAGTGGCTGTGTCTCTCCACCAGAGGGAAGAGCTCCCACTTGGCTCTAAGAGGCTTCAGAGATGTGTTCAAGCAAGAGGAAAAGCACAAGATGTTCTATTTAAAGCAGCCAAACATCCAAGATGGATAAATGCAACAACTTGGAGTACTCCAAGAGTTTTAGTATGTCAAGTTGAGGCCAAAATCTGTACTCTGAAGTTCGACTCTAAGTAAAAACACTTTTAAAGAGAACTTTAAAGGCTGTTGGATGAATCCATGTGGAGAAGATAAATGAGTTGGGAGTGTGATGCTTCCACCTCACACTCATTTATTATGGATGGTTAGCAGCAGGAAAACTCTTAGGAAGGGGTGTGAGGAGTTACCTATCTGCCTGCTGCTGCTCCTCCTTAGGGGTTGTCCAGGGCTTGGAGATGTACTTGGAGGGAAAGTTCTTTAGCACAGGTAAGTATTTCCTACAAAACAGGGAGAACAGGGGGTAGAATCCTGCAGGAAAATCCCTGTATGTTAAAAGAAGTGTAAAGCAACTTGTACCATGGTAATATTGGTAGGATTATTCATTTTGCACTAGAGAATTTGGGTTATGACGTAGGGTCTCAAACCTTCTTCCCTTCTCTTCCCTTGGTCATACCCCACACTGTGTCACTCAACCTGATGTAACCTCCCTGGGGGTCTCTGATGTGTTCCTCACCAGATGTAACTTCCCTGGGGATCCCTGCTGTATCCATCACCTGATGTAACCTCCCTGGTGGTCCCTGCTG